TGTGTGTGTGTGTGTGTGTGTGTGTGTGTGTGTGTGTGTGTGTGTGTTTAGGACTGGATAACCCAATCAGTGAACTTTCTTGCTGGAGAAGACTGATTCTTCCTCTTTAGTAGACAATAATTGCCTATACTTTTTTTTTTTTAAATCTAAGAGTGAACATGACAAGCTATCCTCAAGAACACAGGAGCGACACTTACATCTTGGAGGCAGTCAAGAGCTGTCTAAATGGCCTTAAAGAATATACAATAGGAAATTCATGTCTGGTACTGTACCCCTAACCACCTGCCTATGGCTGGTGAGGTCATAGACCCTCACCAGAGGAGAAGATATTAGTGTCACTTTACCAAGCCTTTATCTTTTTCTTGTCCTTATTCTTTGCATCAAAATCTGCCTCCTCAGGTGCACTTAAATGCACTTTACCCCAATTCAGAACACTAGTTTGTGTAGTGAAAGGTGATCTCCTTGTTCTCATATTTTCATCTGGATGTCCCATATTCACCCACTAAATTTAAAGCCATCATGCTGAAAGGCTGGGGAGGCAAATCCCTGCACCTACCTCCTTCCAGGTTGCAGTGCTGCTCTCTGTGTCTGCGGAGGGCCAGGCTCTGGGAAGGCACCTCAGAGTGTTTGTTCAGCGCTGGAGACCACCCCACACCCAGCACCTCACTCGGCTTAAATTTGCATGTTTCTTCTAGCATCTCTTAGATTATAAAGGCTGTGGTATCAACTTCTGAAAAAACACAGCTACTTCCTATTTTTCTATAAAAACTGTTAACTAACTTTCGATTTCTCACCTGGGGTTTTATTCATTGTGAAATATACTCGAAAGAGGTTGCTCCCACTAACAGCGTTTTTTTTGTTGTTGTTGTTTTATTTTTGTTTTCCACAAGAAAATAATATTGTTTATTATGGTATTAAGTTTGAAGATTTACATTTTGTAAAACTCTGTCAAGGGAATATAAACAAAATATTATGATATACAAATATGTTGTATGACCCATTATTTTGTATATTATTTATTAATAAAAAGCAAAATCAAAACCAAACATGGCAGACATACCAAAATATTATAACTATATAATTAGACAACATACTCAGACTATGTCATTTACATGACCTTTCAAAATCTGTTTGCAAAAATTCACACATTGCTGTTAAGTGTTCTTTTTTCTAGAGAACTTGTGTATAGAGAGTTTAAGTGCGTTAAGTGTGCATGAAACTCCACTCTTGGAGACTCACCATGAAAGCATCATCTTTGCATAGCAATGATGAATACAGTGCTTTTCTGAGTCTCAGAATCATCTAGAAAAGGCCTAGCCTCTAAAACAAACCCAACCACAGTCATTTATTGCATATTCTTGTTAGTCTAAGGTTCCTCACATAAAATCAAAACAGTCTTCACATTTCTTTGATGAACTGTTTGATGCTGAGTGATTATAAAGAAAGGGGATTTATTTAACTCATTATGTGGGGGCATAACCAAATGCATGACCACAGAAATTGACCACTCTTGTGACTCAGTCACAATGTATAAGGTCTAATGCTGGAAACGAGAGAGGTTACTACTGCATGGCAAGTAGAGAGAGTGAGCAAGGCCTAAGGTTCCCTTGATATCACAATGCGTCCTCATAAGAACTAACCAGGGTTGGATAACACTACCTTCATCTCTTCTAAGGCAAGGCTTCCAGTGACCGGGCTGCCCTACCTGCAGGCTCGCTCTTGAGCAGTGGTTCTCAGCCTTCCTAATGTTGTGGCCCTTTGATACAGTTCCTCATGTTGTGCTGACCTCCAACCATAACATTATTTCCATTGCTGTGTCAGAACTGTAATTTTGCTAGTAATGAATTTTAATGTAAATAGCTGTGTTTTCAGATAGTCTTAGGCAACCCCTGTGAAAAGGGCATTCAAACCTTAAAGGGGTCATAGCCCACAAGTTGAGATGTGCTGCTCAGAGGTACTGTTACCTCACCATTTTTATACTGGAATCAAAGCCTCTATCGCATGAACCCTTGGGGATCAAACTTCATCTGTAAGATTTAATCGACATTTCTTAGGTAAAGCTTATCATGGATGACTAATACTACAGGCCACAGATAAAATGATTAAAAATGATTTACAAACTCTCCTCCCCAAGGCGTTTAATAAGCTCCAGGGGAATTTAGACAACTAACAAATAGCATGTCATCAGAATGGTGGTGAATGTGTTCTCTGCGTGGTAAAGCAGAGCCTCCTGAGAGCTCACTGGAGCCTGATGGTGATGGGCCATCTGAAAGGAGACCTGACTAGGGAGCAAAAGACATCCAAGTGGAGGAAAACCTGCCCGTCTAATCAAGAAGTCACCGCATCCGCAATTCTAATACTGAAAGATGTTCAGAGGCAGCAAGGCGGGCTGGGCAGAATGCAGCGGCTTTGGTGGCGATGATGCAGAATCGCAGGATCCATACAGCTTCTTCAGCCACGATAGTGTGAGCAGAAAGTGAAGCTGTCTTAGTGCTCTGTGCTCTAGGAGGTACTGATGGGAGTGGGGCATCAGAGATGACTAAGTACTCGATAGTGTTTGTGATGTTATTGTTCTTGTTTTTCCTGCACTGCTCAGACCAGATAACGGAACCTTCTTGGTTTGGGATCTGGCCACACATTGTGCATAAACATTCCACGCAAATACAATTTTCTCAGATATAATCTGCTGAGATGTGGGACAACCCTTTAAACAACAAACATAGCCAGGGATGGAGACTAGTGCTGTTGTTTTACTTGAGGAACACTTGAAGTACCTAAGTTGTTGGCATAAAGTCAATTAACTGTCACACAAGGAACACAAATATGCCTGTAATTTATTGGATAAAGACGAAAGACAGACAACATTCTAAAGATGGGAAAGAGGCAGAAGGGTTTAAGATACAAGGTACAGGTTTTAGAGAAACCACACCATTGGCATTACTCTGTGGTATATCAACCAAGTTTTCTGAGGTTAAAAATAAAGTTTTTATGTTTTCTTACCTGAACTTCTAGTTGATCAAACCAGGATAGGTACTTTCCATAGCCTAATTGCTGGTGGGAAGGCAAACTTGTACAACCACTTTGGAAATCAATCTGGCACTTTCTCAGAAAATTGGGAATAGCTCCACCTCAAGACCCAGCTTTACCACTCCTGGGTATATATACAAGGTACATACAACAAGGACACTTGCTCAGCTATGTTCTTAGCAGCTTTATTTATAATAACCAGGGTCTGGAAACAACCCAGAAGCCCCTCATCTGAAGAATGAATAAAGAAACTGTGGTACATTTACACAATGGAATACTACTCAGCTATTAACAACAAGGAAATCATGAAAATTTCAGGAAAATTTGGATGGAACTAGAAAATATCATCTTGAGTGAGGTAACCCAGACCCAGAAAGACATACATGGCACGTACTCACTTATAAGTAGACTTTAGCCATATAGTATAGGATAAACATAGGATAACGCACGGACTCTAAAAAGGTAAGTAAAAATGAGAATCCAAGGGAGGATGCTTAAATCTCACTCAGAAGGGGAAACAAAATAGACAGAGGTAATGGGTGAAGAGAGGGAACAAAGTGGGAAACACAGAGGGTATGACAGATCAGACAGATCAGAGCGTGTTGTCAAAAGGCCTGTAGAGAAAAGAGAAGCTGTGATAAAAGTATCTTCCTGACAAGCTTGAGACCTGAATCATGGTAGGCTCCTTGGAGGGGGGGGCAGTAAGAGAGGGACTCTAGTGGAGACTCCTAGTGGCAGGGGACACCCTCTAACTAGACAAGTCTCCTAGTAGAGGGAGGTGAACAACAACCCAGTCACAAAATCTTTGACTCAAAACTCACCCTGCTTACAAGCTATGCAGAGCTAAAGATAGAGCAGATATAACACAGATTGAGGGATGGTCTAACTAATGCCTGGCCCAACCAAAGACCTACCCCATGGGAGAGAACCAAACCCCGACACTATTAATGATGCTCTGCTAAGCTTGCAGACAAGAGTCAAGCAGAGTTGTCCTCCAAGAGGCTCCACCCAGCAGTGCCTCAAAACAGATGCTGAGGCTCACAACCAAACATTGGGCGAGGTGTAGGGAACCTTGTGGAAAAGTGGGTGGAAGGAGAAAAGGACCTGAAGGTGATAGAAGCTTCATAAGACCAACAGAGACAACAAACCAGGGGCAAGAAGGGCCTGCTGAGACTGAAGCACCAACAAAGGACCTTGCATGGACTGAACCTAGCCCTCCTACAAAGTTATAGCTGATGGGCAGCTCAGGTCTCATGTGGGTCCCTTAATAAGGGGAGTAAGCATTCTCTCTGACATGAACTCTCTTGTCAGCTTTTCATTTACTTCCCCCTGAAGTCACTGCCTTGCCAGACCACAGGGGAAGAGAACAGGCTCAGCTCTGATACAACTTGATGAGCTGGAGGGGATGGAAAGGGGGCTTCCATTTGCTGAGGAATAGGGGAGGGAAGTGGGGAAGAGGAAGGGTAGGATTGGGAGGTGAGGAAGGATGGGGTTAAGACCAGGATGTAAAATGAATAGATAGATAGATAGATAGATAGATAGATAGATAGATAGATAGATAGATAGATAGATTTTTAAAAAAGAGAGAGGACAGAAAAAATAGGAATAGTGTTACCTCAAGATCCAGCGATAACACTCCTAGGCATATATCTGAAATATGCTCAACTATAAAACAAGGACATTTTCTCAACCATGCTTGTAGCAGCTCTATTCGTAATAGCCAGAATCTGGAGTGAGCTAGATGTCCCTAGCAGAGGAATGAATACAGAAATTGTGGTACATTTACGTAATGGAATTCTACTCAGCTATTAAAAACAAGGAAATCATGAAATTTGCAGGAAAATGGTGGGATCTAGAAAAGATCATCTTGAGTGAGGTATCCCAAAAGCAGGAAGACACACATGGTATATACTGACTTATAAGTGGATATTAGACATATAATATAGGATAACCATACTAAAATCTGTACACCTAGAGAAGCTAAGCAAGAAAGAGGATCCTGGGTAAGATGCTCTGTCCTCATTCAGAAAGGCAATAGGGATGGACATTGGAAGAGGGAGAAAACAAGGAAAAGGACGGGAGCCTACCACAGTGGCCTCTGAAAGACTCCACTGATCAAGGTATCAAAGCAGAGACTGAGACACATAGCCAAACAAACTCTGGGCATAGTGAATGGAATCTTATGAAAGAAGGGGAGATAGAAAGACCTGGAGGGGACAGGAACTCCAAAAGGAGAGCAACAGAACAAAAAGAAAGAAGGAAGGAAAGAAGAAAGAAAGAAAGAAAGAAAGAAAGAAAGAAAGAAAGAAAGAAGGAAGGAAGGAAGGAAGGAAGGAAGGAAGGAAGGAAGGAAAGAAAGAAAAGAAAGAGAGAGAAAGAGAGAAAGAAAGAAAAAAGAAAGGGCCCTGGGGTCCTGAAGAGACTGATACCCCAACCAAGGACCACTCGTGGAGAGGATCTAAACCCCCTGCTCAGATGTAGCCCACAGACTCAGTCTCCAAGTGGGTAGCCTAATAAGGGAAGCAGGGGCTGTCTCTGGCATGAACTCAGTGACAGGCTCTCTGATCACCTTCCCTCTGGGGGAGGCGCCTTACTCTGTGGCCACCAGGCCACAGAGGAAGACAATGCAG